GGATAGCGCTAAGGTTGGCGGAATCGAGTGAAGCTCATAAAACAGACCAGACTGTTCAAACAAGGTTAGGTATGCACCGGATTTCACTTGGATGAAGCTCAAAACGGCGGAAGTGTGGTGCCTAATGGCCCCAAGTGTAATGCTACTGAAGTGCACCTGAGGTTTCTAAGAGCACATGAAGTGTTAGCGGAACGACAACAAACAAGTGTAAAGTTTAAAAGAACTTTGATTTCCTGCGTTCGACGGATCATTCCCTCCTGATCACCCAGTGCTCCCATCCGTACCTAGTTCCACCTATCCGAAATGACAACATACTCCTCGTGGTTTCGATTTTTCTATCGTTATGCATTCGCTTCAATTGCACGTACTTTATGTCTCAAAATCCCATCTTCATCAATCTGCTAATAACACTGATGTTGTGGCTAACTGTTTCCGTCCGTTGACCGCATATTGCAAATCTAGCGAAAAGTTATGTCGTGTACATTATTCTGACCTTTAGAAAGACGGATACAGGATTATATTACTAAATCTTCTGCTTTATGTTCAGACCATGTGTTTAGTCTATGTTAATAACTCGAAGTTGCATTATTTCTATACACCTTGTGCGATGTAATTCGATTTAGTAGTAGTTCCATCGTTACATCTAATGTGTTTATATAAACGTCCATAACTGTAGTCTTTCATTTTCTTGCTACTTGTTTTAACGTTTCATTTCGCTAACCTCCCTAGCTATTTAAAGACACTGTTTCTCGCTGTGCATCACAGCGACGCGACAAACCTAAAAGTTGAATTCTCCCCTTGTGTGCATCCGGTTGGCCCATAACTTGCCCCATCATTATCAGCATTAAATAAAGAGAGTGAAATGCCATTGGTTAATGTTGATTGGAAACACAATTGACCTTAACATTTAGGGGCACTCGCGCCTGTTGGATGTAATTTGATAGCGTTGTTGGCGGCATCCGGTTCCGGATTTGCCTGTAAATGTGGTCTCCACAGGACAGCAACAGGACCCCGGCGCCTGCAGTGGAACCATGATTGGCTTGCGATGCACTAACCACAGTTCCATCCACACACCCCATATCCAGTGTAAACCCGAAGGAATAAGACCGGGAACCATGTGGATGGGAGCTACGTTTCATCAACAGAGCCGGCCCACACTCCTTCACAGGCAAACAGAAGCACGCTGTAGTTGGGAATCAATCGCACACAAGGCGGTGGCTGGACCGTAGTCCGCTCCACATTGAGTGCATGGAACCGCTCCTCGAGCCTAGCACGACCACAAGGACCGTGCACCACATCCCCTCCAGCAACGACCAACCGTCTACTCGAGCCGGCATGGAAGAAATGGTGGGTAATATACTGGCAGGCATCTTGTCAACATGCACATCAAGCGTAACCACACCGGGGATGTCAAGCAACAGCCAATCACATGAAATGAAATAACCAATAAAATAGGTCGAAAACACCATACGGATATACCGCTAAATTAGCACATGATATAAATGGATTATCAACATAGCCGCGATAAATTGAAGATGGCAGGTAAACAAATCAAGAAACATCTGCAAAACGGAGAAAAAACGAAGGTAAGCCCCATTCGTTTAAGCGACATTTGCAATTTGTTAGTTTATTCAGGCAGAAATTAAAATGAGGTAAGCAAATAAGCATTAAGACAAGATAGCAAACCCACCACCTGAAATAAAGAAACAGCACGTATGATGCGTTAGTAAATCGAATGCAGCGTACCTACCAATGCTGCGCCAGTTCTGCTTACGTTCTCAGCAGGCCTCGTCGTCGTTTCGATGCTGGTCTCGAATGAGCTTGCTCGTGGCCTCACTCGTGGCTAACTGGGCCCACCTGACTCAGGCACTCGCGACCGCATGTGCTACAACACCATGCGCTCGACTTCGATGGAGTACAGCCCATCTGCGCCTGTCGCTTCCGCAATTACCGCTTCTTTTCAGCATGCACCAGGGCTTTCTCTTACATTTGGGCAACTGCCTTTGTGATCAGATGGTACCAAGTGCGGCGATCAACCGCCTTTCATTCCCAAGACCTGCAAGCCACATTCGAACGTGATAGATTCCGTTTGACATTGTCCTGGCTAGGTAACTTCGGTTTTCCCACACGAGCCGTTCCCCTGACTCATTTGACCATAAAGCATCTGTTTCTGGATCAGGGTCGAATCCATGCCAAGATTATGCCCGAGCCAACTCTGGTGTCTCAGCAATATTATGCAGTCCACTGCATACATGCCACTGGGTCGGGGCACCTCCGTGTCTGCAACTCGGTCTCTCCAACCAATGAGCATAATACGGCGCATACACTGCTGATGGAAGCGTTCCACTTATCGGACATGCTTCCGATAAAGCGTCCAGGTTTCGCTTCAGAGTAGAATACCGGACAGCACCATGGCGTTGCGTACTAGCAGATTCGTACCAACAGTGAGCTAGTGGTTGTTCCACACACGGCATTTCAGCTTTCCAAAAACTGCAGCCGTCTTTGTTACATGGATATGAAGTTCACTGTGTAGCTGCTGGTCACTTCGAGGTTACGCTACCAAGGTAGCAAAATCTCGAAGTGATTTTCAGCACTACGTCGCCAGTCTGGATTTGGGGCAGGCCCACGGATTACATTCGGAGTAAAGGCTGGAAAGACAAACCGTCTTGCATGTGTTGATAGTGAGCCCGAATTTGGCCGCTGTCAAAGCCAGAGCACTAGCCATGGGCTGCAAATCCTCCGCGCTGTGTGCAAACAACGCACAGTCATTAGCAAACCGTAAATTACGGATAGTTGTCTCACAGACTAGGGTTCTCGCACCGAAACGACAGATGTTCAGCAACCCAGCATCAATACGGTGCTCCACATGAACACCGTAAACACAAGTCGCATCAAAGCACCAGACATCATGGCATAAAGATAAATATTAAACAGGAAAGGAGCTAAGACGCAGCCTTGCTTCACACCGGAGACAACTGCAAAGTCATCCGAGGTCTGTCCACTCACGTGCACCCTCACCCGTATACCACTATGCGGACATTCAATGAAAACTACAAACTTACTCGGACAACCAGCCGTACCCAACACCAGACACAATAAATCGCGGTTCACCGAATCAAATGCCTTGGTGAAATCAACAAACCGTGTGTACAACTGCTGCTTGCGTTCTCTTCACTTCTCATGCAACTAACGAGCTGTAAAGCACCAGATCGATGGTGCTGCGGCCCGATCGGAATCCACATAGCTCTTTTGTCACGTTCGGTTCCACAACCTGACTGACGAGGTGGTTTTACAGCATTCGTGGAATCACACTGCCCACACAACTCAGCAAGTTGATGTCACGATAATTCGTACAACATTGTTTGCTCCCTTTGCCCTTGTACAGCGGTAGCACAAGAGCATCCTTCTGCTCAGGAAGTCCCTCCTCCTCACTCTACAAGCATTGCATTAAGTGGTGCAGTCCAATCACCAACGCCGGTCCTCCGTGTTTCAGTACTTCAGGCGAGATTCCTTCGGCACCGGCACACTTGCCGTTTCGCAGCTGAGCAAGTGCTCTCTGCGTCTCCTCCACTTTCGGCGTGTCTGCCAGACTCACCTTCACCTCTTGCTGCTTCTGGTCGTTCAATGTAGGCCAGTCAATCTCTGAACGGTTATTCATGAGACGAGCAAAGTGATGTAGCACGAACTGCATTATGTCTGCAATCTATGCGCAGGCAGCGCCTGAACTACCCTCGATGAGCCAATTCAGCGGCTTCAACCTCGGTCCATACATCACCAATGTGTCAAAGAATACCTTGTGTTGGCCGCGTTTGGCGTAGCTTTCCAACCGCTTCGCCTTTTTCGTCTACCATGCGTATTTAATGTGACGGATCTCTAAAATCAGTCTCCGTCGAAGTTTGCGAAATTGACCCTGGGGTCTGCCACATGTGCAGCAATGCTGCATTCTTCTCAGACACCAATTCGCCAATCGTCGAATCGTTCTCATCAAACCAATCAGGCCGCTTACAGTTTGCGCGCCCGACGGTCTCCTCGGCAGCAACTATCATCTGATCGCGAATGTGGTGCCACAGGTCGTCCACTGTGGCTATGCAGTCCACATCACACAGGCGTACAGTCA